AATTTATTTGTTGGATAAATTTTCTCGAACTAAAAAAAATTGGCAATTTTCATTTTGCAACAATGTTCACAGTATAATCATAATCATCACCACACAATCATTTTATATTTATTGGCCTCTGGATTTTTCCAGTTTTTCACTTCTGAGAATGACAGCACAATTTTTTCCTTTGCAGCTAAATTAACAGATATATCAAAGTTTGCAAAAAACTCTCTCGTGCGTATCTCAAATTAGGTTCTCTGCTATTTCGCTTGCATAATTTTGGTTACTTGTTCTCAATTTTATGAGGTTCCCGCCGGTGGAAGGAATTAAAGGCGTGTTACGAATAGACTGCTCTAATTTACATTTCCTTCACCATTCAGAGACTGGTTTCCAGAAGTAGTTTATAATTTTTTAAAGACTACTGGTCATAGCTGGTTAAACTCTCTACGCCGCCTTGTCGAGCTAGTTATGTCAGCTTCTTAATGCTAAAAAGATAGAAATACAGGTTAGCATTGCTCGATTTTTTGGTTAGGTTTAATTTTGCTACGAATACAATCTCAGCATTGGCGATTTATCCAACAACCTATTGAACCATTGTACTCTCCGTTACTTTATCCATTCCATGACATTACCATCCGACGAATTGTGGTGTCCAATAAAATCTGTTTTCAGTACATTAAGAGTATTCTCTACTACTGGCTAGACTTGCTTCCTTGACTTGTATACTAGGGACATCCTCGACGGTAGATGTAGAGATGAGCGGCCAGTATTCCCTAAATTTTTTACGCACTTTAATTGTTCGCAGGCATTCTTACCTACAGTTTTTAATCAATCATATCAGATTTCAGGTTTTATTTTATTCTTTGTTGTTTTCTAACAAATTGGTTCGAAGAAATGTTTCATTTTTGCGTCTTTTTTTTCACAAATTGCCTTTTAAATTACGTAAAATTTTTTAAAGCTTTTACCATTTTCGATGTTAGGATATCTCAACTGATAACTTTAGAAAAATTTTAGGAATTGCAATAGAAGTATAGATGAATCGCTAACATCATTCAGAGTTTTGTTAAGCAGTTTACTGCTTGGATCACCACTGACGAATTAAACACTTGGATGTTGGATGTTCCTAATTACATTTTTGATGCTTAAAGTCTTGGCATTGACACAGATGGACATTCCTAGGAATGTTGTATAAGAACTGCAAAAATTCTTCAAATAAATTGGAACTCTTCAGTTTCTGAATATATAGATTAGTTTGCCTTGATTGATATGCTTTATAATATATATATATATATATATACACTTTTATCGTTTTCTTGCTACATTCCTAATGAAAATGGTAAGGGAGGGTTGGAATGTTCTCGATTTTCTTAATTTTAAAACCGACATATTCATTTTCTTGGGCAATCTTTTTTTAATCTATTTAAAAAATCTATTTTAATCTATTTAATCTCATAGATTCAACAAAAATATTCATGATGCAATACAAGAATCGGATTTCACTAAATTTTTTTCCCGTCACAACACCTATCATAATACCCAGGCAAACCGAATTCACAGAGTTTATCGCTATTGCAAAATGAACCGTGTTTGGCGCATTTCCAACCTCTATGACATCGCTTTCCCTTTACATATAATTTCTTGAATGATTCTCCACTGTAAAATTCTTATTGAAATATTTGAAAATGCATAAAAAAATAATCTGAAGGAGGAAAAATATTTACTTTGGCCAGAATTTGCAGACGGTGAATTGGATATGTCTTTTTTCCTTAATCTTTTTCTTTTTAGGTTCTACATGTTCATCGGAATCATTATTGTTTTCCGTAAAACTGCAGGAAGGATTTGTTGCACAACCAACATCCGTAGTTAATCCAGATGCAACCTAAAATTTCGCGGTGATAAGAATCGCAATATGATGAATTTATATCAGTCGTAGTCTATCGCAATTTGTTTGCGAATCAAACCTGTATGAATTCATCATATGTGCCCAAAAATTCGCACGTTGACACACTATTATCTTCGTAGCCGTTTTCTACTCTTTTCACCCAATCTTTTAGTGCTTCCTTTACAGGTTCATCCAAGGCTGTAAATGAATGTAGAACTAAGAATTTCAAGGAAAGGAACATTTATCATTTTTTACTTTTCGCATTTTCGCATTTCATTAATTTATCGCAAATGTCTATAAAAATTCTCTGAGTAGATTTCATTTTTTTCCATTCCATTATTTCCTTCTATTTCATTTCTTTTCTGATTTTTCTACAATCTTTTTCGGAAATTACGTTTAAAATCGCCTCCTGAAGGTCGAAATACAACGTGGATAGCTTCTCCGACTTCTTCATCTTCTGATGAACGATAACTACAATCAGAAACTTTTTCCCAAGCCATTTCTTCTAAAGAACAGTTCCATCTCTGAAAATCTGAGAGAACACATTTAGTTTGTATTTCATACAATAGTGTCAATTATCATAAATAGGTCAAAAACTTTTCGCTAAACTTTCATTAATTGGTATTAATTTAAAGGGTTTGCTTGAAAGATGTTTTCTACATAATTATTTTGCTATTTTAAATAAGCTTATTTTAATATTTTTTCTATTCTTTATTTATTTTTTACTACTTTTTTCATCTCCTTTCTATGGAAATTTTCCTAAATTATATCAATGCTGCTGCAAGAACACAAAAAAATTATTAAAAATTATTATTACTTAAATATTATTTATATTAAATTATTATAAAGAAAATAGAAAATTCGTCTTGCTTGGTTGTTTTTCGAAAACTTAAATTAAATATTTAAGAAATTATAAGAAAAAATAGTTTTAACCATTTTGTACATCTCTCTACCCTTTGGGAATTTGGCATTTTTAGACTGAACTTTTCCATTCACAAGTTCTTTCCTGAATGTGTTTATCGCATCAACAGCCTTATCACGATCGATACCTCGATCCAGTTCTCTAGCGCACGTGCTATGTGTGGCTGAAGCGAATCAAATGTTAAAAACTCTTCAGATGAATAGTGATTCAAAAGTGAAAATGATATTTACGACCATTGAAATTTTATCGCCATTGAAATTTTTAGACTCGTCAGATGTGGTCAGATGTGTTTAGTGAAAACAGATGGGGTATGATGAGAATTTTTGATAAAATATTTACGAAAAAAAGAAAAAATCGCCATAAAATAAAAAATTTTCAAAAAAGAATTTACTTGGTGGTGGTCGATGAACCAAACCTGAAATTCATTTTTATTAGCAAAATTTTTCATGCAGCGAATCATCATTATACGAGAATTGAAATCTAATAATTAAAAAAGAAATTATTAGAAAAAATTATATTAAAATTTTTATATTAATTTTTATAGGAATCTAATCCTATTTAAAAATAAGTGATTAGTTTCATTATTTGATAATTTGATTTTAGTTCATTAATATTAATATTAATATATTAATATTAATATTTTATTAATAATTAATTTTGTGATTTTTGCAAAAATTTTTATTATAATGCCATTTTTTGAAAATGGAAAATTATTTTAGAATTATTATTTTGAAAAATTATTTTAGAATTTTTCATTACCATTTAAAGTTCCGGGTTTCAATTACAGTTATTTTTTATTTAACCAATTAAAAGCCTTCTGTCGAAAAAAATGGCACAATAATCAACAATTTTTCCGTTGCACATTATCCTAGATTTGGCCAAAGCTTTTGAACTATTTCCCATAGCAAGTTGTTGATCGCTCTTAATAGTTACGGCGATACTGGGGATCTGTATAAGAAGGTTGCACAAAATCGGATTAGATTTAAATTCATCAGATTACATAAAATCATTACCAGATCGTATGTATTAGCAATATTTTTTTTGATATGACACCTGTTAAATCTGGTATTCCACAAGGTAGCTATATCGCGCCATTGCCTTTTTTATATATAAATGATTTCACCGAAGTAGTACTAAATTCTACCATTTATTTTTATTATTACTCTCAGCTAATTGTAAAATTTATTACTCTCATAGTAAAGCTGACAACCTATCTCCACTGCAGGAGGATCGCAGTGGAATAGCCAACTGGCTATATGACAGGCAAATTACCCTTTGCTTTCAAAAATGTAACGTTCTTCATATCAATTCTAAAGGATTCGATCTTCCTAATCTTTTTATTAATGGTAATATAATCAGAAGAGTCTCAAACATTTTTCTATCTAGGAATAATCGTCGTGAAAATCTAGGAATAATCATGGGTGAAAAGAATAATCATGGGTGATTTTGACCTTCACTGAACCAAACCAAAGTGAAGAAATCCTCAAAGATAATAAATTTTATTTTTCATTCGTTTAAGAACAAAACTGAAGGTTTTCTTATCAAAAATGTGCAAAACGTTCGTTCGGCCTCTTCTTGACTACAGTACTACCTGTTACTCTCCTATCTACCTAAAATAAAGCAAATCAAGTAAAAAAATAATTGAAGAACTCCAAAATATTTTATATGATGCCCCTCTCCTATTAGCAATTTTAATTATAAAAGAAAACTTCTACAATATAACCTGGATTGTCTCTCAGTACATTAAATTAAACAAGATTTAATTTATAAGTATAAAAATTTGTATGGTTAAATTAAATTCAAAATATAATTTTAGGCTGAATTTGAATCCAGCAAGAATTAATGGGATAAAAATACTAAAATACTATGTGCAAATCTAAACTAAAAAGTCATAACTTCTTTATTCGTACTACCAATTGCTGGAATAAAGTAATGAACAATTTAGGTTGTGCGTTATCTTTAGCTATCATTAAAAAAAGCTTATCATTTATGATATCACTTAAAAAGTTCATATCATGCAGAAATATGAAATCGCGATTTTTACCATCCGATTGTATAAAAGATTTACTTCAAATTGTACTATATCTTATATTATTTTGAAATTTTTATTTTCTCTTTTTTTCCTCTTTCAATTGCTCATTTTTGTCATATTTTCCTTTTCTTTTTTTTATTATTCATTATTATCAATATTATTTTAACATTTATTATTTGTTATTTTAACTGTTGTTAAAAATACATGGCATTTGTCGCTTTGCTTGGCTGGTTTTCACTAAATAAATTAAGGCCATTTAATGGCTTTTACTGCATGTATTGTAGAAATTAAGAAAACAGCTTTTCTAAATAAAATGAAATGAAAATTTGCTAAACAACAATAAAAAATAGCTTTGATGGGAAAATTTTTTAAGACGAAATAAGAATCCATAAGCTTGGATAAGAAAAAAAAGTTAAAAGTATATGAAGTATATGGAGTAAGTAAAAGCATATGAAAGCACATTACCTTTTGAAGAAGAAATAGGTGCACCTGAAATTTAAGCCATTTTATTCAATTGAAATTATTTAATTACTAATTTTTCTTCAATTTACCTTATTTAATTGATATTTGATTTAATATATACGAAAAAATAAGTATGAATAATAAATAATAAAATAAGTAATAAAATAAATAAAAATGGTTGAAAATGGAATCTATTTAATGTTTCAGTTTTTACATAGAATAACTCGACTGATTTGTAGAGCGAAGGAATAACTTGTTGATAGGAATACTGATAAGTCGCTAACGGATTTTTGACGGAAAAGGATTACCTGGGATTTTTTCACTTCCGTCACTCAATATGAATTCCAAGTGATCGAGAATCCAAACATCAGTACTCCAAACTTACAGCAACTACTCATTAAGCTACTTTCTAACCTACAAGCATGAAATTCACAGTGAATGAATTGAAAACTTACTTATCAAGACAAGAAATAAAATCAAAAATGAAGATGTCATCACATTTATACTGGCACAATACTTACGAAAAAATGAATATTTGGCTGTGAAATGATTTCTGCCGATGCTTTTAAACAGTTTTGTACGTGAATTTTGCCACAATAATATTTGTTCGGATTTTTTTAAAAGTTTTCATTTTTCTATTTGTTCGACATAGCGATTATTGTCGAATTTCAAAGATTCAACTTCAGATTTTTGAAATATGTTACAATATTTGCAATTCAGAGAATATAGGAATTCATTTTTTTTTTCATTCATAAATTCATTTTTGTTCACCTTCTAACGTCACTAATATCATTAAATATAAGAAATAGGATAGCTAAAGAAAAGTTTATACCCCAAAAAATAAAAAATTGAAAGAAGATGGGGAAAAATTTTATTCAACTAATTAGTAATGAGAAAATTTATTTATTCGAAAGATCAGGCAAATTCAGTACCGTAACGACTCTCCGAAAGAAAAACAATAAGTCTTTCCACTCACTGAGCTTTTTTTCCACACTTCTTTTTTCAAAAATATTCTCTATAATAAATAAAAACATTTATATTTGGCGAATAATATAATATTTTTGATAAATAATAATAATAAGAATAGAATATTTTATTATTAATAATAATATTTAATAAAAATAAGAATAATGTTTTCATATCTTAAGGAAAAAATAATTGTTAAAAAATGAAAAATGAAATTTTTTTTTGAAAAAAATTTCGACACAATTCGTCTTACAGAAAGATTTCAGAGACATTTTTTCTACATTTGTAAATGGAAATATTCGACTGTAAAAAAACAAATGAATCTTTCGAAATTAAACTATTTGTAATTTATCGGTTGGATAAACTTCACGAAAAAATTTGGCAATTTTGCTATTGCAGTTAGGCTCACCATAATCATTATAGCAGAAAGTGCTTCTGATTGGAGAAGAATTGTAAGACTTTGGATATTTGAAGATTTAGTCCGATGTCTGCTTCTGATTTTTATCAGCTTTTAGTTTCTATGAATAACAGCGATTTTTTTCTTATAGTTGATTTGCCAGATATATCACCATCTAAGCAAAAAAGGATAGATGATGGAGTGTAGTCAATTTTTTTTAAGGACCCTCACCATTTCTTGTCAAATTTTCTGGTTTCGTTTGGTTTCTGTTCTGATATGCCAGGCAGTTTTTTGATAGAAGTACAGATAAATAGGTATAGGCATCACCCGGATTCTTGGACAGGTTCTGCTGGACTTAGAACATCGGAGCTCCGAATTGAGCAACAACCCACTAAGCCATTCTATCTCATCGTGGTCAACAATGGCCTTATTGTGTTTCTAATAAAAAACTCGATGGTGCTAATATTCCATTGTTATCCGGAATCTTTTCACTGATTTTTATCGTTACATGAATACATCCATTCGAAAAGATATATTTTGTATCAAACATATATATTGCTTAGGCCATACCGTCGCATATTCATCATTATAGCACGGACGGTATGTATCGTTTTTCAGTCGCATATTCCCACCGGCACCACATATCCGAAATGGCTAAGAGCAGCTTCTGGGATGCTTTTATACAGCTTGAAATGTGCGGAGAGAAACTTTTTTTTTTATCTTCATTTCAAAAAGAAGGTGTCTCTAGCATACCTACCTCTAATTATGTCCTATATCATTTCTCTTGCATAATTCCGGTTATAATTTGCAACTCTTTGTTCTCTCAACTTCATAAAGTTGTCCTGGGGAAAATGATGTTACAGGTATGTTGCGAATGGCCTGCCTCATTTTGTATTTTCCTTCGTCAATCAGCGACTGGTGTTCAGAACCAGAAACGTGATCCAAACCTCGATTGGCATAATCAATCAGGAGAAATCAGGAGGAGGCGTCAGGTACACATAATGTCTTGCCATAGATGGTACCTACTCCCTCCGCTGGCTTGTCCAGCTAGACAAATATATCAGCCTCTTAAAAATATAAATACAAGTGGATTGTCAGGTTGTCAGTATTGATTTTTTGGTTAGGTTTAATTTTGCTGAGAATATAACCTCAGCTTTGGCGAATTATCCAACAGCGTATTGACACTGCACTCTTATTTTCTCCATTTTATGAAATTACCAACGAAATAGGATGCATCGGTCCAATTTAAAGCTAAGTCTCAATTCTCGGTTCCAGTTGTCCTACTATTGACTCACTGATGCGGTGATAGATATATGTACTTAAACGAATTACTACTGAAAGTGAGAATCTCGTTCGCTTTTAACGTATGATTTTTAATATTATCAAATTCAATAAAGCCCATTTTCATCAATAAGAGTATTCACCATTATTGGCTAGACTTCATTTGTCTGTGCAAATATATCACTTGGTGAATCCCTTGGTGATAGATGAGGTGTGTCATCAATATTGCCCATACTTTTTCAGCCCATTAGGTACTTTTACTTTAACTGTACTCAGGCATTCCTATCAATAGTTTTCAATTAATCATGCCAGATTTCAAGTTTTATTCTTTGTTGTTTTTTAACAATTTGGAAACAATATTGGTTCGAAGAAATGTTTCATTTTTTGCGTCTTTTTTTTCATAAATTGTTTTTTAAATTGCAATATTTTTTTTTAAAGCATTTACCATTTCCAACTTGAGGCTCTCTCAACTGGTTAGTTTAGAAAAATTTTAATAAGGAATCGCTTGACAATAGAAGTACAACTGAATCGCTAACATCATTCATATTTTTCAAAAGTAGTTTACTCCTTGTAACATCGCTGCCGTATTAAACACTTGGATGTTCTGCTCCTAACTGCATTTATAATTCTTGAAGTTTTTGAACATTAACATGAATGGACCTTCCTAGAAATCTTTTAGGAGAATAGCAAAAGTTCTTCAAATGAAATGGAGCTCTTCGGTTCATGAACAACTAATCCAACACGTCTTGTCATGTTTTTTTACTGTGATCGACTGAGGACATGATGGACTACTTAATTGTTAGAAAAATCGTTGACCGATTTCCGAGTTTCTACAATTTTCTGAATTTTAAATGCGACATATTCACTTCTTTTGTGCAATCTTTTTTTAGCGTCGTTATTTGATCTCATATAGATTCAACAAAAATTCAAAATGCAGTGCAATACAAGAATTGGATTTCACTGAATTTTTTTTCCCGTCACAACGCCTGTCAACATATCCAGGCAAACCGAATTCACAGAGTTTATCGCTATTGCAAAATGAACCTTTTTTGGCGCATTTCCAACCTCTATGACATCGCTTCCTTTTGCATATAATTTCTTGAATTCCCTTCTGAAGCAGAATTGTGAGGGACATTGGATTTCTGAGGACTTCAGTCCGATATCAGCATCTGGGCTTTTGTCAAATTTTTAGTTTCTAAGAATGACACCGATTTTTTCTTGTATTTTGCTAGATACATCAAAGATATATCACAGTAGAATGAATCTTTTAAATAAGCAAAAGATGACGTAGTGTGGTTAAATTTTCTTTATAAATGTCCACACCATTACTGGTTGGTTTATCGCATTGGGCAAATATGCAAGGGGGTTTATTGGCGATAGAAATATAGATGAGACCCCAGCATCACCCGGATTCCTGCTGAAATAGAGCTTAATCATCGACGCTCCGAACTGAGTAATAACCCACTGAGCCATTTTGTCATATCGTGGCCAATATTCTAATACTGTAAAAAGTGAAATATTGCTAATACCACTGATATATTTCCACTGTCTTCACTGTTATCGTTATATGAACGCATTCACTCGGAGAATATTTTGCATCAAATAGATCTGAATATTGCTTAGGCCGCATTTTTCACCATCGTAGGAATCATTATAGTTCACAATATTTTAAAAAAATTCCGCCGAACCTCCAATCAATAGGTTTCATCAGCATTTGCTAGTTAGAATTCCTCCGCAGACTTGTCCAGCTAGACAAATATGTCTCAGTCCCTTGGCGATACAAATATAGGTGAGTTGCCAGCAGTGTCCGGATTTTCGCCAGATTAATTCTTATTGAGAATAAAGCTCAGCATGGCACTTTGAATTGAACAATAACCCAATGAACCAGTGCATTTGCCTTCTCATTTGCCTTCTCTATTTGGCGATATTATCACTCGACAAAACGTGGTTCGTTATCAAACCTCGATTCTTGGTGATATTCATCCTTTTAGCTTCGGCTTTTCTACTTCATCTGCTTCGTATAGTGGCCAATGCTGTAAACTTTTGTTGTTAACTTTTGTTGTCTTTAGAGTTTCTGATAATATACCTCTCNAAGGGAAATAAGAAAATTTGTTTGTTTGTAAAGTTTGTTTCAAGTCAAGAATACTCATTATTACTGGCTAGATTACTCGCTCCTATAGTTTATCTCACTGGAAAAATATATTAGGGAACCTTGGCGATAGAAATACAGGCAAGTCCTCAGCATTCCATCATTGAATCAATATTTCAGGTTTTACTTCATTCTTTTGCTGTCTTCTATAATTTTCTCAATTTCCAATGTGATTTGTCCACTGTTTTTAGGCAATCTTTTTTTATTTGATCTCAACATTATTGCAGTGAAAATCATCGAATTCATTATTTTTGATCGCATAGATTCAACAAAAATTCAAAGTGCAATACAGTGCAAGAAATGGATTTCATTGAATTTCATTTCTCGTAACAACATTCATCATAATACCCAGGCAAATCGAATTCACAGAGTTTATCGCTATTGCAAAATGAACCGTGTTTGGCGCATTTCCGACCTCTATGACATCGCTTTCCCTTTACATATAATTTCTTGAATGATTCTCCACTGTAAAATTCTTATTGAAATATTTGAAAATGCATTTAAAAAAAAATCTGAAGGAGGAAAAATATTACTTCGGCCAGAATTTGCAAACGATGTACTGGATATGCCTTTTTTCCCTAATCTTTTTCTTTTTAAGACTTTCATTTTCATCATAATCATTATTACTGTTTTCCTCAAAACTACACGAAGGATTTGTTGCACAGCCAACATCTGTAGTTAATCCAGATGCAACCTAAAATATCGCAGCACTGAGAATCGCAATATAATAAATCTAAATCAGTCCAAAAGAGCAGTTTGTTTAAGAATTAAACCTGTATGAATTCGGCATATTCATCGAAAAATTCGCAGGTTGACAGACTATTATCCTCGAAACCGTCTTCTACTCTTTTCACCCATACCTTTAGTGCTTCATGTATCGGTTCAGCCAAGGCTGTAAATATTTGAGGGATAAGAATTTCAATGAAATCGACATTCGTATTTCATTATTTTTATCGCTAATGTCTATAAAAAATTTCTGAGCCGATTCCATTCATCTTTTCCATTTCATTATTTCATTTCTTTTCTGATTTCTTTTCAATCCTTTTCGAAAGTTACGTTTAAAATCGCCGCCTGAAGGTCGAAATAAAATGTAGATAGCTTCTCCGACTTCTTCATCTTCTGGTGGATCATAATTACATTCAGAAACTTTTTTCCAAGCCATTTCTTCTAAAGAACAGTTCCATCTCTAAAAATTTTAGAGAACATGCATTTAGTTTATGTTTCGTAGAATAATGTGAATTATCATAGATAAGTCAGAAACTTTTCGCTAAACTTTTATTAATTGGCAATAACCTAAAGAGTTATCCTGCATTCTTTTATTTCAATTTAAACAGGTTATTTATTTTGCTTATTTTCAACGAATTTAAAATAATAATAAATAATAAATCGCTTATTTTAATCTTTATTGCATTTTTCCACCTCATTTCCATAAACTTTTTCAAATATCATTATTATAACAAAAATATAAAAACATTACTACTAATATTAAAAAAATGGCATTTGAATAGGATGCCTCAGTAGGTTGTTCGATTCCGAGTACGGATGCTATCGTTCCATTCTCGCAGGAGTAAATCTCTCCGAAAATTCCACGGTGATGTCGGCTCATTTGTATTTCTATCGCCAAGGAATTACCTGGCATATTTGCCGACTGTGAAAAGCCAGCAGAGCGAGTTTAATAATGGAGTTCTTTAAAAAAGAAAAACACCAATCATCTTGCTCGATCCTTTATCGAAAACATAAATTCATTATCCAAGACAATTTTGATTTGATAATTTTAAAATTAACCATTTTGTACATCTCTCTACCCTTTGTACATCTCTCTACCCTTTGGAAATTTGGCGTTTTTGGTCCGAAATTTTCCATTTACAAGTTCCTTCCTGAATGTGTTTATCGCATCAACAGCCTTGTCACGATCGAAATCAAGTTTCCGTTCTCCAACGCACGGTGTACGTGTCGCTGAAACAAATTATGTTAAAAAGTGTTCAGATGAATAAGGATTCAAACGAAAAAAGTGATAATAGAATAAATTACTTCACGTTCATTTACTTTACAATCTTAATAAAATATACAATAAAAAACACTATAAAGTAAAACGAATTAATTTTTAATGAAGAATTTACTTGATGGTGGTCGGTGAGCCAAACCTGAAATTCATTTTTATTAGCAAAATTTCTCATGCAATAAACTATTCTAAACGAGTAGTTTTATTGTTTTATTAGTTCGATAATTTTGTGATTTTTGTGAAAATTTTTATTATATTGCTTTTTTCTAAAAATTGTTTTAGAATTTTTCATTCCCATTTTGTTGCGCAATAGGGTACAAAAAACCTTCTGCATAGTACCACTGTCGAAAAAATAGCCCAGCAATTAACCAATGTTTCGGTTGCATATTATGTATTAAAGCCATGTAATATAATAAGTCATATGATGGCTTTTGCTGCATGTATTGTAGAAATTAAGAAAATAGCCCTTCTAAACAAACAAACAACTTGTGAAATAAAAAGCAAATGAAAATCTGCTAAACAACAATGAAAGATAGCGTGGAAAATTTTTTAAGATGAAAAAAGAATCCATAAGCTTGGAAAAGAAAAAAGTGAAAAGTATTTGAAGGGAATTACCTTTTGATGAAGAAATACGTGCACCTGAAATTCAATTCTTTTTTATTAATTGAAGTATATTTTAATCTTTTCTTTTGTGATTTACCCGAATTTCATGATTTAATTTCGACGTAAGAAAATGCGAGCGTTAAAGTGAATAATAAGCAATAATGTGCAAATAATTAAGTAATAAAATGAAAATGGTTGAAAATGGAATTTCAACTTTTATGTTTCAACTTTTAAATAGAATAATCCAAGTGAATTGCAGAACGAAGGAATCAAAGGAATCATTTGCTGATAGAAATGCTGATGAGTCGCTGTTATAAGTCAGATTTTTGATGAAAAGAGATTATCCAGGATTTTTCACTTCTGTCGCCCAGTAAGAAATCCAAGTAATCCAGAATCCAAGCATTCAAAATTACTCCAAAATTACAGCAGCTACTCATTAAGTTAATTTTTAACCCGTATGCATGAGATTAATAAATCGAATTGAAAACTTACTTATCAAGACAAGAAATAAAATCAAAAATGAAGATGACATCGCATTTATACTGGCACAACACTTATGAATATTTGGCTGCGAAATGATTTCTTCCCGATGCTTTTAAACAATTTTGTACGTGAATTTTACCACAATAATATTTGTTTCGGATTTTTTCAAAAGTTTTTTTATTTGTTATAAATAGTTTTCTTAAATTTTCCTATTTGTTCGACATAGAGATTATTGTTGAATTTCAGAGATTTATCTTCTGATTTTCGAAATATGTTAAAATATTTGTGTTTCAAAGAATATAAAAATTTTTATATCATTTTTTGCTTGTATCTGTTTCAGTAAATATTTGCGCCACTAATGCTATCAAATATATGAAATAGGAAGGCTTAAAGCCTTGCGGCGTATAAGAAAAGCTGTCCAACTTTTTGGACGCTTAGTGCCTTTAAAAAATAAAAAAAATTGAAAGAAGATGGCGAAAAATTTTATTAAAATAACCGTAATTGAGATAACCGTGATGAAGGAATTCACTTAGTCGAAAAACCAGGCAAATTCAGTAAAAAAATAAAAGCAATAAGTCACTGCTTCCTTCCAATTTTTTTTCAAAAATTTTCTTTAAAATAAACAGAAAACGCTTGTGTTTCGACGAATAATATAATATTTTTCAATAATAAACAAATAAAAATAATAAAAAAAAATATATTTTTACATAATTAAAAAAAAAATCTCTAAAAAGTGAAAAATGAAATTTTTTTTGTAAAAAAATTTTGACACAATTCGTCTTATAGAATGATTTCACAAATATTTTTTCTACATTTGTAAATTGAAATATTCGATGGCAGAAAAACAAATGAGCCTTTCGAAATTTAACTATTGTCTAAATGTAATTTATTTGTTGGATAAATTTTCTCGAACTAAAAAAAGTTGGCGATTTTGATTTTGCTCACAGTATAATCATTATCACCATCGGACAACCATTTTATATTTGTCGGCCTCTGGATTTTTCCAGCTTTTCACTTTTGAGAATGATAGTACAATTTTTTCCTTTGCAGCTAAATTACCAGATATATTAGAGATATATCAAAGTCTGCAAAATGGTTCTCTAGTGTGCCTATCTCTAATTAGGTCCTCTACCATTTCCCTTCCATAATTTCGGTTATAACACTTATTCTTCTCAATTTCATGAGGTTCCCGTCGGGGGAAAAATATATTACAGGTGCGTTGCGAATGCCCTACTTAAATTATTTTCCTCATTTTCCTTCACCATTCAGCGACTAGTGTCCAGAAAATAGAAACGTGTTCCAAATCTCAATTGGCATAATAAATCAGGAAAGGGTTAAAAACTACTCGCGATAGCTGTTTAAACTCTCTACGCTGCTTTGTCGAGCTCGATAGTCAGTATCTTTGGGCTAGAAAGATACAGGTTAGCAATGTTCGATTTTTTGGTTAGATTTAATTTTACTGGGAGTTAGCACTGGCGAATTGTCCAACAGCCTACTGAACCATTGCATTCTCCCTTGTCTTCTCGATTCCATGAACTTGCCACCCGAGGAAATGTGGTATCCAATAAAATCTGTTTTCAATACATTAAGAGTATTCACTACTATTGGCTAGACTTGCTTCCTTGGTTTGTATACTAGGGACACTCTTGATGGTAGAAATAGAGGTGAATCGCCAGTATTCCCTAAATTTTTTAAGCACTTTAATTGTTCGCAGGCATTTTTACCAATAGTTTTTAATCAATCATATCAGATTTCAGGTTTTATTTTATTCTTTGTTATTTTCTAACAAATTGGAAATAATATTGGTTCGAAGGAATGTTTCATTTCTGCATTTTTTTTCACAAATTGTTTTTTAAATTGCATAATTTTTTCTAAAGCATTTACCATTTTCGATGTTCGTCTACCTCAATTGATTGCTTTAGAAAAATTTTAGCAAGGAATCGCTTGGCAATAGAAGTATAGATGAATCGCATTCAGAGTTTTGTTAAGTAGTTTACTGCTTGGATCACCGCTGACGAATTAAACACTTGGATATTGGATGCTCCTAATTGCATTTTTAATGTTTAAAGTTTTTGGCGTTGACACAGATGGACATTCCTAGGAATGTTGTATAAGAACTTCCTCAAATAAATTTGAACTCTTCAGTTTCTGAATATATAGATTAGCCCGAACTTGATTGATATGCTTTATATATATATATACTTTTAACTTT